CGATTCACAGACATAGCTGGTGTTGGGTTTGAGGTTGGATTGAAAAAAAGATGACTTGTTTATTTTATTCATCCATGCAGCTGGGTGGTCAACAGGAGAAGTGTAGAGGTACATGCGCAGTGCCAACTCCAGGGACTTCATCCAGCAGTCAGATTACACATGCAGGCCCTCCTTATGCAGGCCCTCCTCATGCAGGCCCTCCTCATGCAGGCCCTCCTCATGCATGCCCTCCTCATGCAGGCCCTCCTCATGCAGGCCCTCCTCATGCATGCCCTCCTCATGCAGGCCCTCCTTATGCAGGCCCTCCTCATGCATGCCCTCCTCATGCATGCCCTCCTCATGCAGGCCCTCATTCTGCGTTTACCAGCATTAAGCTATCTTTGTGACTTTCCCTTAAACCATATCAGTTTCCTTACCTGCTTTAATAACATCGCGTGAGACTGTAGAAGACAGGTCAAGCGTGTATCTAATTGAAAGTGTGAGTTCCACACGCGTCAGACAGAGATCGTGCCTGTCTGCAGGCTGCAACTCTGAGATGGTAGTTGGTGAAAACTTTACTTGAGTAACTTAGTAACTCAGTTACCACTGAAGTAGAAAACATGAACCAATGTAGTTATTGCATGAAATTCATGAACCGTTATGACTGATTAATGACGAACAAACAGGGGATCAGTACATATTTAGCGCTTGGTTTCTGATGAATTAATACGTTATGTAAGAGTGTACTACTACATTATTTCTGCCCACTCAAAGTGTTACCCAACTTTGTACTACACAAGGTATAGAAAAACTAATAGGAGGAAGAATATTTTAGGCAGGTGCCCCCCCCCCAAGAAGCCACAGAGAGGAAGGCCCAACCAGCCCCACCATCCTCTCCGAGCTGCGCCTCCTCTACCCGGCAATGCTTTACCAGAGGCTGCTTCTGCACCTCTGACAGGAGACCGCAGAGTTCTCCACTGTCTGCATCTGTGGTCAGTCTGTGGAAAAACAGCCGTCACATGGAGCTTTTAGCTGATCCCCTTTGCCGGCTGCTGTCAGCGGTGAGCATTACTGATGCACACATACATAGATGTACTGTAATTATCATATTTATTATATACCAGGCATATATTATTTATTTATGCAGTGCATATACAATCCATTCGCAGAACAATGGAATTGGAGCAATGGATTATTTCAAACAATGGATTATTAGAACCAATTAAAAAAAATGAATGCATAATGAACGCAGCACACAGTGCATGGAGCCCCTCCACACACGGTGGATTTAACGCATCTCTCAGGTGGTCAAAATATACCCGACCGTTCACATGATGCAACAGAAAACGGGATTCATTGGACCAGGCAACCTTTTTCCATTGTTCCAAGCTCCAGTTCTGATGCTCGCTTACTCATTGTAGGTTCCTTCGACGGTAAGGGTGGCTACCATAGGCAGCCTGATTGGTCTGCAGCTATGTAGCGCCATACGCAACAGGGCTCATGACACATTACTGCTGTGATCATCATCAAAACTATCTACCATTTGTGCCACAGTATCCCTTCTGTTGGTTCGTATCAGACAGGATAGCCTTCGTTCACGTCCCACATTGACGAGTACTGGCCACCCAACATCCTGTCGGTGGTTCATGGTTTTTGCCTCCTCCGATCACTCTCAGTGGGCTCTCACCACGGCTGACAGTGAGCCCCCGCAAGTCTGGCCAGTCTGGGTGTGGTATTGGCCGGTTTTGTTTGTTGGGGGGGTTACAATTCCAATTTATGTCCATGGCCATAATGATTTGGCCCTTGTCAAAGTCACTCAGATCTTTACTCCTGCCCATTACTTCTGCATTCAACATGACAAATATGAGTACTGAATATTAACTGGATAACTAATATATCCCAGACTTTGACATACAATGTTCTTACTAGACAGTCGACATTATTCACTTCATTTGGGGGTGGTCATGTTATGACTCATCGATGAGAATGCATGGTACAGTCAACCCTTTCACGTTGCGGGGGATAGGGGCACAGGCCCCCGCCATCTGGAAAAATTGTGTAAAATTTGTTGGTCTCCTTGGAGAGCAAAGTCAGCATGCGAGTGGCACAAAGTGACGCGGAAAGATACAAGAAACGCAAGATACAAAGATCCCTGTGAGATCACTGCGAGATCCCTGCGAGATCCCTGTGAGGCATCACATCAGAGGCTGCCATAAACACTCTCGGCATACTTTAAACCAGCGCTGTACATATATTTTATGCATGCATGAGTTACTAAACTTTTTGTGTGTCGTCCCCTGGCCTTCCTGTGTTGTCTGTGGTTTTCACAAAACTCCCAAGAACTCCCTAACACTTCCCTTTTAATTTTGTATGTCGAAACCATGATAGGGAAAGTCACGATGCAGAAGGGTCAACTATATATTAAATACCAAAATATGAAACATCAGGAACCAGGAGTTTCCGGAGTCATGTACACTGCCTTCCTCTATATGATCCAATGTTCATATATCATTCATCCATCCATCCATCCATCCTCCAACTGCTTATCTAGCACAGGGTCATGGGTGGGGGGCAGGAGCGTACCTTTGTCAACATAGTATGTCAGTAATAAACAAACAAAGAGTATGTCACCAATAAACAAACAACCAAACAAATAGTATGTCACCAATAAACAAACAAACAAACAAACAAACAAAGCAGCTTGGGTTTGATATTCTTGCTGTCCTTATGCTCCAGGTTATTCTGAGCTTTTATTGATGTGAATGACATCAATGCCGTTTTGTCCATGTGCACTTTTGTTTAAAAGGTATTAAAATAGGCCTAAGAGACAGGAAGTGAGAGCTGACTGCTTGTCTTCGGCAGGCTGACTTTGTGATGGGAGATGTTTTACGCTACGGCTCGCATGAGAGAGGAGCTTTCAGGCCTTCCTACTCGAGCATCTCAAACTAAATTAAGTCACATAGGGTAGTAAAACTGAATTTGGTTAAGGTGTAAATATTTCACCCGCAATCAGCCCTTTAGGGGTCTGTTTTACAGCAATATAGAGGTGAAAATAGTCATAAAATAAAAAGGTTTTATATTACAGTGGGAGTAAGCAGCGTGTTCGATACCCTGGGTGTCAATTTCAGAGAGGAAGGGGTTGGGGGGGTTGTGTGGTAATTTTCTCTGATGGAGTTACCAGCAAACACAGCTCGAATGCATGCACACAGATGCACAGAAACACACACACGCACACACACATATGCACAATACACAGATATCTATATGCCGTTTAGCTTCTCTATGCTTAAAAAATACCTGTTGTCATCGACTGTAGCTTACGACTGATCAACATTATGACTGTTCCATGACCGTAAATATGTGGCAGCGTGAGTGTTTGACCAAATTGACCGCTCAGTCAGAACCAACTGCAGTCCTACAGTAAGTCAACGACGACCTGTAATAGATTCAACTGGATTAACAGAAGTTTCATTCCTAATAAACTAGAATTGCACTTCCTATGTCACATAAATATGATAATAGACACGCTGCTCCTTCCTGCGTCTCCTCTGTAACTGCCAGCTCTGTCTAAATCCTCCACAGGGGTCTCTTTTCACTGATTTATTCTTCTGGAAACAACAGGCCTCTTCCAACAGATCAGATCTGACACCTCTAGAAATTATGAGTTGCACATTGGGGTTACAAGTGCAGTCTGGCTTCTGTTTTTATTATCGGTATTAATCTTAGGTTTCTATAATCACCTGAACATGTTCTCAACAATTTGTCAGATTTCATGCACCTTTATCTGTTTACTGCCCTCTTGTGGCTCGTCCCACATATTAGCCATGGAAGCTATGTTATAGTAATATTGTGGGAAATTGCATTAAATGGTTTATTTAAAAGATCAGTTTTTGGTCTTCCTATCTAAATGGGGACTGTCCATTCATTTCTATGGGAAAAACCCTAATCCCAATCATGACGCCCTTAACCTCTACCCATCCCTAACCTTAACCATAAGTAACTAACCCAAATACAAGACTTTTGGCATTTTTACTTTTTTGATTGCATTCACAGATTTTTATAAAACTGAGGTTATCCAAATGGGGACCTCAAAAGATGTCCCCAAAAGTAGGGAAATTTCAGGTTTTGCTACATTTTGGGGACAATTTGGTCCTCAAATATGATCTATGTAACCCCCCCCCCCACACACACACACACACACACATAGGTTTGTAATTATATCTTTATGGGGACTCTCCATTAATTTCTATGGGGAAACAGGATGACCTTAACTCCTACCCAGCCCTGACCTTAACCATAAGTATCCAAACAAAATACGAGACTTTTGGCATTTTTACCTTTTTGATTGTATTATCAGATCTTTGTGAGGACCTAAAAAATGGTCCCCACAATGTAATATAAACATAATCCACACACACAGACACACACACACCCATAAGTAAAAGAGCTACTTATACTTTCAGCCTTTGCCTGACTGTCTCTCCAACATCACAACCAGTGCTCTGACCTCTCTGCTGATTAAGATCTCATCTGCTAGCCTCCCTGGAAACATGCAACAGTTGCTATAGCAACGAGAAAACCCACATATCATCTGAGTGGGCGAATATGAGGACTGAAGCGGCTTAGTGTCCATCCCGAGCAGCCACACTATCTTTGCCTCGGACCCTGCAGCCTCCTGTCTTGCATTGCTACAGACAGTGACAGACGGAGCCCAAGTTTACAATAAATTACAAGGCCGGTGGTATCAGCGGACCACTCAAACTGGGCCTAGGGGAACAAGAGTCAAGCGGCTCCTGCAGCCAGAGCTCCAAATTTCACTAGGCCTCGTGAGTCCTTACTGGCTTATGTCTAAGATTATGGCACAGATACGCTTGTGTTATTTATTGCCCCATTGGAAAGTGGATGGAGCGTATGGTCTGGGATGCAGGGTATGGAAGACAGCCAAGGCAATGTCTGTCTAGAGAGGAAATGAGGCTTAAAAAGCCAAGGCCACAAACACAAAGCGATACCATACGCAAATGCAACATTAAAAAAAAACACTTTATTCATGATTTACTGACCAACAGTGCACAGAGGTACAAAAACAAACGAGCGCTTCATACCACCACAAGATCCGTTACATCCGCATGCTCCTTCAGAGTATGATTCTACATCTGGTTGTGCATGGAGGATACAAACATACTGCACAGCACTGTAGGACTGAAGTTTGGAGCTGTACCTGCAGTCGATGCCCGTCGTTGGGACAAAACGTAGGACATGCCCAAAGGCTCTTCTTCAAAACCGAACGGCACCATTAACCGGCCGAAAAACCCTTGATAGAACAAGGACAGAGGCCTTTGAAACATATTGCTGGAATTAGGTACAACTCACAGTTCGTTTTGCGCTCCGCTGAAGTATGTAGATTGAAATAATAAGGAAAGATAAAGCTGTAATTCTTGTTTGGGATCTGTGACTACGGGTTAGAAGCTTAGAGACAAGGGATTTTTCTTCATTTTGTTCATGTTCCACTGTCCAGATGGCCTATTTTTAAGCTCTCCACCTTAAATGCAGTGATAACTTTTTCAAGCCTCATAAAAATTGAGGAGGGAAATGACATATAAATATACTATACTGGCTTAAACTACTCAAAAGACCCCGTGAAATTGCAAAATTAGTACTGTATTAATCTGGTCCTGAGGGAGCAGTTTATTTAATAAATGTAATTAATCTGAAACAACTAAATTACAATAAATTCATAAATAATTTATATTTTCTGTTGTCTAAAATAAGTGCCATATTCTGATCAAATGCCCTTTAAGCGTGTGTAGATGTGCAATGTGAAAGTGCATCACTGTGTGCACTATTTAAAAGAGGCCAAGTGTTTGGAGAGCAGAGAGGGGAGACCTTCAGGACACGTCTACATCTCGGCAATGGCAGGCAGCATGCATGATCGGATGCGGGCCTCCCTCCAGGCACTCCTGCAGTCTGCAATCCAGTGGGAGATGACGGAATGCTTCTCCCCGGATTTGCCGCCGTTTTCCCTCTGCCCGCCAAGGTCGCTGCCTCTCTCTGCATGTACCCCACAGGACGGCCGTCCGCTGTCGTCGGTCTTGCTCATTGTGGGTGGGCAGGCCTCTGCCCAAGAGCAGGCAGGGCTAGTGGTGTCCCGCGGGCTGAACTCAGGACAGCTGTTCTTGCGTAGGGCGGGGGGCGAAGAGCACAGGCGAGGGAAGCTGTGGGCTCGGACTCGGCAACAAGGAACTGCCGGGGCTCTGTTCTCCTGAGGAGGGAGTGACTTACCCTTGGCATCTTGCAGAAGGTCGGTGGGGAGGATGGGGTTGCTTTGGTGCCCGTACAAATACTCAAGGGGGTCAGGGGTGCCATGATGGTTCCCGATTGGGGTGTTTGAGAAGGCCAGAGCACTCCCTCTGTTTCCATGAATGTGGCGGCGAGCGGTCGGGGAGGGGGGCCGAGACGGAGCTGGAGGGGAAACGTTAGACAGCCTCAGGCCAGACCTGAATGAGTCAAGAGAGCCAAGGGCCAGGATTTCACGGTCGGGCTCGCGCAAGGGAAAGGCAGGCCGTGCCAGCTGGCAGATGGACTGCAGGTAGGCCTCAGAGGAGAGCGCCTCCGCATGGACAGTGTGGCAACTGTTAGTCTGGTTCATGTCCTGCAGCAGCTCCTCGTAGCCCTCCCTGATGGTGGGCAGACGCTTCTTAGCCATCAGTCTAGACCGGGGACGCATGTCTGTGAAGGGAGACGAGATGTCAGGATTGCTTGCTAAGCACAGTAACTTGATTTTATAATGTCAGCAGTAACCATCAATACACATTGCTGAGTGTCAGTGTGGATGGAATTTCATAGCATAGCATTTCACCAGAGCTCTTATGTAACTGTAGCCTTGTTTACGGTGACATTTTCCTGTGAAATGGACAGCAAAGGAGCATGAAATGAACCACGGATGGCATCAGTGTCCAGCAGAAGCACAAGCAGCGGCCTCAGTAGGGAGCAGTCGGCAGTCTGCAGGGGGCACCATCCTTAACAATAACGGTAACCTGACTAACGGTAGCGTGCCAGGGCTTTGCAGGAACTGAATCTGGAGCTCAAGCATGACTGGTCGGCTCACCCTTAACACCACGCTGCCCGCAAAGGCCAAATCCTTCCGCGAAAGAATGGAAGCCGACAGCTCAGAATCGTGACCAGTCAGGAAGCTAGCAGCATCTCCTGTGGGGGCTGAGGTGCGTGGGGATGACGTTCTCAGAGGTGCCCAAGATGGGCAGCCCACGACGGCCTCCCACACGCCCATTATTCAAAAAGCACAAAAGCCACGGTTCCACTCCGCAAAGCCCTCTCCCAACTCCCAGTCAGATGCGAGTGCTCTTCCGGCTATCAAATCTGATGGTTCTTCAACTAGGTCAAGGTTACGTCAAGAACTACAAAAAATGTCTGATTACTTCTATTGCATCCCTCCATCTTTAAGTGCCATTTCCAAAACACCATGGACTGTCGGCGGTCACAGACACCTTGCTGGACTCAGAAATACACGTCTTTCAATCGCTGTTGATAGAAACATCTATCCATCTGCTTGCTCTGTGTAAACAGCTGCTGACCCAGCCACACAGCCCCGCCCACTCACATGTGTCTCCATGACAACGTACTCCCTGACCTCATTCTTACTGTTTACATCTCCTGTTTCCCTCAGCCTCAGGACCACCATCCGAACATACTGATTGCCATCAAGGAAAAAAAAAACAAAAAAAAACACAGGAACCTCTCGCATTGTTTTCCTCATCTTTCCCAAGGATCTGATCTTGCAGCAGATGAACAGACACACATGAAGACAATGTCCTTCTTAAGAAACAAGCAGGTAAACATTCTGTAACTTGCATATCAGTTGCCGTCTGACAGTTACTCTTACATAACGAAGTCAGCAGGACCCCAACCAGGCTGCCCAGCGCAGCCAAGCCTCCTTCACTGTAGCGGTAGGCGCTGCACCTCCCAGACAGAGGAGCAGCCCTTCCTTGCTACCTTACCTGCCCTCTCCAAAGAGGAGGTCGCTGAGAAAACCTGCCGCGTCCGAAGGCAAGGCGTCCTGCAAGACTGCCTGTCTACCAGACCTTCTGGATCTGCCCTGCCTGCTGTAAATACCCCCCACAAACACACACAAATGCACACACACACACCAGTTTTGGTGGCAACCTCACCTGAGATGAGAGAGTGTGCACGCGTGCGTGAGCAGCCGTGCGTCTGTTTGTGTGAGTGCGTGCGTCCGCCCCGAATCGCCGCTTCTCCCTAACAGTCGCTGTCTCCGTGTGTCCCAGGCGACGCCAGCGAGCGCCCTCCTCGGTGCCAGCCCCCTCACCGCAGCTACAGAAAAATGATTCCTCCTCCCTCTCGCTCCTGCTCTCCCTCACTCCCTCGCTCCCTCCCCCTCCCTCCTCCTCCTCCTCCTGTTGCTAAAAATAGCAGTGAAAATTTCACTTCCCGTCTCTTAGAGCTGCCGTTTGCAGAGAAGACTGGCACAGACGGAAAGAAGCGGAGTTGGGGAGGCAGCCGCAGAGGAGGGCGGGGGCGAAAAACAAAGGCAGAAAAAAAGGGAAAGATGACAAGCGCTGGAAGGAGTGCCGTTTGGTCCCAAAGATTCCTGTCCTTCGTGTCTGAGAGCTCCCTATCTGACCAGCACCCATCTAACGTGTCATTCCAGTCTTGCGTCGCCTGGGAAACTCACATTCCTTAACAGCTCACTACACCCAAACATGGTTTTACAAATAAAATTTAAGGAAAAAATGTTTTACTCATTTCTGTGGCACGTGACCTCAGATGAGCTGAGCAAACGCCACAGAGGGTCGTTCAGTAATGGGATCACAGGTGTGGAGCAGGAGGGCGGAGCTTAGCGGCCAGTGAGCTCGCCCTCTCATAAGCAATGCCACGTCCTCCATCCGGATGCAGTAGTTGTTCTTTCCCACTTCTACTCAAAAAAGCGCACGGAGTCACGCAGTCATACAGACCATGTGTTGCAGTCAGCCTCTGACAACTCAGTTCAGTTTGGGTCCATTCATTTCAGTTCAGCTGTCATGTCATCTGACACACTTACAACATGGAGCAGAATGCGAAGTAGAGCATGGAGCAGAGAGGGCAAGGGGAGAAGATGAAGTAAGAGGAGATACATCAGGATGGAGGAATCAGACAGTGAATGCATGAGGTCAGCACATGACTAGATCAGTCAGTAAGACACTGTTTGGGATCCCCTCAGGCACGTCAAAGCGCTCTCTCTCCCTGTGACTTTAGGGCCAGTGAATGGATGTACACAGCAGAAGGAATGGATCTTCCTCAATGCTGTGGTCAGAACCATTCAGGAATGTAAGCATTTGAGGATGACTTTGCAGGCTGATAATGCATCATGTATTATGTTATTACGAAACACGGCCTGCACACTATGGTGCCCTACAGAAGGGGGCAGTGGTGTCTCCATCGCCTTGCACCCTGTATCTCCATGTCTTAACACTCACATCCTCAGTTAATGTCCATGTGACGGTGATGACCTTATTGACACTCCATTCCCTCGGTAGATTCCAGCAGATTAAATGGTGGTTAATCTTCATGTAGGTGAAAACTGCATCAAAAATCTGTTGGCTGCTCCTCAGAAGGTGCTAGAATCCATTGGTGGTGGGAGTTAGGCCCAATCCCAATTCTATTTTCTACCCCTTTGCCTACCCCTCACCCCTTCCCCTTGCCCCTTGA